ACTTGCAACTCTTATTTTTCCACACATTCGACAATGGCTATGCTCCAGCTGATTTCTGGAAGATCAACTTTTTGATGAATATATGGTTTTTCACATATTGCAATCTCTCCTCTGCATTTGCATAGTTGTTAAATAGCAAAATTTTTCCTGGTAAACTGGTTTTTGCTTGAATTAAATAAACTATATTTATACCTCCATCTGGCAACACTGTTCACAAAATAAATGAACATAACATGCATACTTATATTTTATAAAGATTTAAAAGAAAAAGCAGTTAGAAGTAAAAAAAAATGTCAAAGAAATTAAAAGTTTGGAAATTCTTCAAAATGTTTGCAAAGTCAGAAGCTCAATGGCCAGATAGCTGAGGGAGTTAAGGGTGTCAGCTTTGGGTAGGTTCTTAGTGAGTAGATCCTGAGTCCCCAAAACAGTAGCTTTGAGGACCCAGGACCTACTCACTAGGGACTGAAACAAACAACTCCCAGAAATTTTTAATTGTGGACCTAGCTGAATCCTCAAAAGGTATAAAAACAAAATGGCCCTTTTAGTGCAAAAGGGCAGAAAGAGTAACAAAAACTAAAATTTAAATGAAACATTATGCATATTTATAGTAAACTTTCTAGTTGATTTATTTCTGTTTAAAATAGCGTGTTTCATATAATAATGGTTATTTTGTGCACATTTGAAATATCATGAAAAAGTATGATCACAGACAACAATAATCTGGTAATTATAATTAAAAGAGGTGTTTGAAACACAGGTTATGAACTTTTAATTAGTTAATCATATATTTAGCAAATACTGCTAAATATATGAAATTTCAATATACAAACCTAAATAAAAACTAAGTAAACAAAAATATTTCATTTGAATTTATTAAAAATATGGATATGATTATAAGTACGCATCACTTGCAATTCAATGTGATATCCTTTGATAATCTCTTCAAAAACTGTTCTGTGTTTTGAGTTTTATATTGTTATTGGGGATTTATATTGTTACCATTTTCACAAAAATGGATTGAGACTTTATAATCACCCTGTACTTTAATTTATATTGGGTTTACTATGTAATTAGAAACCAAAACTGGTTATGTCACTTCAGAATTTTAACCATCATCATAGAATAAAACTTAATGTTCCATAATTTAAATTTCAAAATCATTATAGAACAAAGGTGTGTTCCATTTTTAAAATGATAGAAAGTTCTATGTGGGACTGAGGAAGACTTGTAAATTGAATCAAAAATGTTTGTCATATAACCAATCCTTTGCTGGAAAAGTGCTTTGGTTGTTACAGTTAACTAACGGAAATATGTTCCACCTTTCCACTGTCATATTTTACAGTCAGAAAAAATTTAATTCAAAGTTTGATGATTGTTTATGATTGCATTTCTTCCAATTCCTTTTAATATAGGGTCCACAAATGGCTGAGTGGATAACACCACCAAACATTGGTCATGGGTTTGCACCTAACCAACAGATTGGCCATGTGGAGTTTTCAGGGTTCTTTTCATATATCTGACATCTAAACAGGGATAAGCTTCCTACAGAAAGTCATCCTAGGAGACATTCTTCCATGGTAGAGTCCATTGCCTTATCCCATCAATCCAATCTAATTTTTTCAAAACAGAATAGTTGTAGTATGTCATTCAATGTTAAAAGCTATTTTGGTGTTTAATCGAAAAAGTAAATTACAACACATCACACACTGGGAAATTCTTTAATAAACACACACAAAACCAATATCCAGTGTGAACAAAAATCGAAAAAACTAACACAAACGCTTTCCAACACCTTCTGAGTTCTTCAGGTGTTGTAACAGTTGTTAGATGAAATGGCATTCAGAACATAAAAGCTTTTGAACTAAATATAAAATTTGAACCCAGAAATTCGAAGTATGAGTATAAAAATTCAAAGCTGCGCATGCGTTGTCTTGTGCATAACAAAGAACTAACCAAACGGCTAAAGCATCGTGTCAAGTAGAGCTTGCAAGAGCAATGACAGCATCATTTCCTCCTTAAAATTTATACAGGATGATATAAAATTGGCATTAAGTTCAGTGGATTTCAAGATTTCAATGGCCTTCCAATTTTCCAACCATCTTAGGTGTTCCATTGGGTGTGGTGAAGAGGAGTTTGGCCCACAAAGTTTACCACAATTTCCAGATCTGCTGCAAAGGTAGGTCTGTGGAGGTTCTAGCATGTTGCATGTCAGAGACATGTTCTTGTATCCTGGTTCTCATAGAATGTTTAGTGGACCAATATACAGAAGGTCCCTATCGCATCTATGTTCTGAACAACATTCCATCTAACAACCATTACAGTGCCTGAAGAACTCAAGCAGTTTGAAAACACTTGCAATAGTTTTTTCATTTTCTGTTCATACTGGATATTGGTTTTCTGTGTGTTATTAATTAAAAAAGTCAAATAAAAAATAAAATTTAATTTAATTTTATGCAAATATAATATAAATTTATTGAATTTTGCTGATATATAAGGGACAATTGTAACTTACTTAATTTATTAACTAAAAGTGAAATATTTTGTTTAACACATCCTATTACATTGTATTATTTTTACTGGTCTTTAAGGCCTAAAACGATCTTCCATTTTCCACACAAACAGTATCTTTCTACACAGTATATTTTTCACAAATTTTTTGAGAATGTATCTAAAATATAAAAACAGAAAAAAGCCCAAAAAGTTTATAATAACAAGTCAAATTGCTATTTGTTATTTATAACAAATAAGTGCACTCATATATATTCCTTTACTATCTCTTTGCTAAAAAAATTAATAATGAAGAAATTTGAGAATGGAATATTAAAAATACCTTATTTTAACATATCCTGATGACTGTTTATACACTCCTCAAAAGTGAAATCGCAGCACCACAAAAGAATGCATTTAGCCATATATACATTATAGGACAGGTAGATGTGACAGAGATATGCTAATTATTAAAAGAACAAACAAAGATATGCAAAAGACATCTATTTATTCAGTAACAAATATAGCCCCCACAGACAGCTATACAAGCTACTATATGGCAAGGCATACTATCAATGAGGCAATTTATGGTTGCTTGAGGTATCCCTTGACACAATTCTGGAGATAATCCCTTGACAAGCTATGTCCACTGCAGTGTGCATGTTGTGTACAGTATGTGGCAGTGGTCCATGATTTACCTCATATCAGATGGAGTCTCACAGGTGTTCAATGGAAGAGAAATCCAGTGAGGCTGCCGGTCAGGGAGGATGTGAATTCATCCAGGTTGGTGAGAGTTTGTCATGCAACATGTGGTCAGGCATTGTCTTGCTGGAACACTATGTCAGATGCAACCTGCACTAGTGGCCAAATCTCAAGCCCCACAGTACGTCACACGAATTGTGACATACTGGTCTGCTGTCAGAGTACTGGAAATGTGCACCAGGACTGTCCACTAATTAAACATGAGCATGGTGTGGGACAGGTGTAATGCTCAGCAAAAAGGACTGGCACATAGCATTCCCTGGGTACCATGACACCCATCCATGGCTGTCATTCCTCCACAGACAGAAGCAGGATTCATCTGTAAACAATACCTGATAGCCATTCAGTGGTCCAGTTGCAACAACAACAAGAGCATGCCAGATGTCAAGCTGTTGATGGCATCCTGTTGATGGTTGCAATGCATGCAGCCCAACTTCATGCAATTTGTTGCAAATGTTTAGGTGGACACAGATGCACTCAATGACAGTAAAAGGCAACTTCAGAACCATTGGACCCATGTGCTATGGTGAATGGATCCGGACAGGCTGTTCCATGAATCTGCCAGTCTGTGCACTCTGTTGTATCAGCATACAACAGAGTGCACAGACTGGCAGATTCATGGAACAGCCTGTCCGGATCCAGTCCCTCTTCAGCATGTGCATGGATGTTCCTGCATCCATCATGTCACACATTGCTGGATGTGTGACACACCATGCCCAACTCATGCCAATGCCCAACATGCATGGCAGCTGTGCACATTGACAAAAAGAGGTCATGCAGCTCCAAGATATGGTCTCATTTCCCAGCCATTAACTAATGGTATTCAGCTCACTATTGTCTCAGACATTTTCTACACTTCTTCAAAAGTTCGGTTGCTGCAAACTGTTGCTGGTCGCATTTAGGGCCTGAGCTGGCTGCTGGTCTTTATAGCCTGAAACTGGGGTATCACATGACACAATGCATATGCAAACTTAATCATTTGTATATGTCTGTCACCTCTACCAGTCCTGTAATTTGCATGTGGTTATGCACATTCCTTCATGTTCATGGTGTTGCAATTTTACCTTTGAGAAGTGCATGAACAATTTTCTTATGGAAAAATAACATTATGTGAAAAAACATAATGTGAACATGCACATTATGTGTTTTGCCATGTAATACCATTTTTTCATTATTTTAAATATTTCATTATCAATTCAGAAGTTACAGCCAATGTTCTATTGTGTTTTTTGTTAATCAAACTTTCCTTGGTCCTTGTAACTGAATGAGCCATAGCTGCTAACCCCACTTAAAAAATAAAACTGTTTTTGACTGTGAGTAGTCCATAACATTAACAACAAAAGTGAAACATAATTTTTACTAGCTCTCCAAAACCCTTGTCACCCTTCTCATGGAAAATGCAAGTGTATGTCACGTTTCATTTTGAAACATAAATTTTAGCCCATATGATTTAAATAAAAATTTATGGATGTTAAATTATGAAAAATTATAATAAATAATAAAATAAATATGTTCCAAACTATTATATTATGTTCAAAATTTTTAAAAATTTTCATTTTGTTTCATAAATAATCAATATAAATTAACAAGAAAACTGAAAATTTAATAGTAAAAACATTTTACTATTAAAACATACATTTTTAAGGCATTAATTAAAAATCACCCACCCAATTGAATTTCTTTATTCAATATTATTGAAGCTTTTATCTACGAACAAATAATTTTAATAATCAAAATTTATAACAACTTACTCTTTCAATGTTTTTGAACGCCTGATTCCACCTCTTACTACAGATCTTACTGTTCCATGATTATGCTGTTCAGAAACTTGACGTGAAACTGGAGCTGACCGGGAACCACTTCTATTTGCATTTCTATCTCCAGATTGTTCAAATAAAGGATTTTCAATTAGAACTGGAGCAGATGAAGGATTATCTAAGATTCTACCACCTCTCATCATATTCTCAGTGGTCCCCAGTTGCATGGCACAATAAATAGTCCAATATAATATTGCAACTAAATTAAAAATAAAATAATTTTAATAAAAAATTACAATAGATTTTTCAAATAAATTATACATGTATTGTTATCATGATCATCATTATTATTTAAAATTGTTTGAAAATGTAAATGAAATCACACAGAATAGAAAAATTGAAAATTTTCTTTGTTGTACTTTCTCACCACACTGGGTTGTATATACTCAGAACACACAATAACCTAGAATTAACCAATAACCGATGTAAAACTCTTCAAAAAATCTGCGAACATTTTCGATGCCACTCCTGGGCTCTTCTTCAGGCTTATTTTATATATTCCATTATAACTGGATTTTTTAATTCGAATGTTTTTAAAAATTTGGAACATGCTCTTTTTCTGAAAAAATTCCGAAAAATGAAGAAAACACAGAGGGTACCAATAACATATAACCTGCATCTAAAGGCAATGTACGAAAAAATTGCAAAGTAAGGGAAACTAAGACTGCATACAAAAGAAACCCATCCATATACAGTTTATTAAGGAACGGAAAGGACAATCCTAACCCAAACAGATTTCCATGAATATACAGTATTCATTAAAAGATAACAGATGGAATAGGCCTTTAGTGTATATCGGATCCACCAAACGTTCATTAGCCACAAGAATAAAAGAACATAAATCCGACATCACACATAATAAATTATGACAGCCCTATCTATGTATGCAACAAACCTGAGCATTACACCTATCTTCGATGAAGCACATGTTATCCTCACCACCAAACATCAAGAGCAACTAAGAATTTTACAAGCAATGGAAATCTTTAAAGCCGACCGCAAATACACATGCATTAATTTCAAAGAAGAAATGAATCTCTCTACAGCATGGCAATTCTTACTACACGATAAATCATAATATATTTTATAAGATACATTTAAATAAGGTATTGTGCACATAACAAGTCCCCATTGGTAGAAAATATATTTGAAATAGCTTGTGGATTCCTTCCATGTTAGGAATTTTTTCAGAAAAGGAGCACATTCCAAATTTTTAAAAACATTTGAATTAAAGAATCCAGTTATAACAGAAGATATAAAATAAATCTGAAGAAGAGCCCAGGAGGAGCATCGAAAACATTTGCCGATTTTTTGAAGAGTTTCATGCTGGTTATTGGTTAATTGTAGGTTATTGTGTGTTCTGAGATTTTCTTTGATTTTGATTTCTGTTATTACTTATTATTTGAGCTATTCACAGCAAATTTGCAAAAGGCAAGAGATAAATATAAGTTTATTATTTTATTAATAAGCAAGTTTTTATGAAAAATAAATCCATCTGTTTTCCAGTAGTACAAATTTTTTGTACATAGTTTGATGAAAAAATTTACATTATTGAAAAACAAAATATTGTAATTATATTTAAGTATTTTCTTCCAAAAACTTTATGGCTTAAATTTTTACAGAACAAAATTTTGTACAGAAAGGAATCTGCATATTTTACTCAAAAAATAAATACTACAATAAAATACCTTTTATCTTTTTTTAATTATCCAATTATCATACTAATTTTCTTAAGAGACACCATATTCCCTCTTGCACTCCTCTATTCTATGCAAAAAATCATGTATATTAATGTTCATACAATAGACCATCCTTTTCTATTATAATTTTAAAGTAAATTAATTCATTCAAACTGTAATTAAAATTAACAAATGTAAACAAATGTTTAACTTTCATTAGTCAAGATGTAATGAAATAGTATTCTTGACTGATATGAAGCAATCATTATTTAATCAAAATAAGCTTTTTAATAATAAATTGATATGTTTTATTAATAATTTCTGAAATCAAAAGAGTTTCACATTGGAACAGATTTTAAAATTAACTTGGTTAAATTTTTATACAATCAATTACATAATAAAATAATAATAAAAATATTTAAATGTGAATATTTGATCATTTAATTTATTTCAATTTTTACAATTACAGTATTGAATAAAATTTAAATTTTAAATTAAATCAATACCTATTATATATAAACATCATTGCAGATTTAAAACCATCATAAGCTGATCCAAATCAGTTCTTGTGAAATGTCTGAAAATTAATATAGAAATTTTAGAAAATTTAACAAACTATAGTTAGCAAACTAATTTATAAACTTTAAAATATAAATTCTATAAAATATCATCACTTATATAAGAATCAGGAAAAACTTAAATTTAGTATTATTTAAATACAAAAAATCATTTCAAAACCACAAAAATTGTTTAAATTAATTTGTCTTTCTAGTTATCTTTAGAGATGACAAAGATTTGCACTGAAGATTTTCTTTGCTTTTTTTTTAACTTCTTTCTTAGAATCAAAACTTATAATCCATATGTAAAAATTCAATCAAAAATCAACATTTGTGCAAAACAATTCTGATTATCTAAATATATAAAATTACTTGTCCTGACTGACTGACTTATTCATTATCACCCAGAGCAAACTGCTGAACCTAAAGAGGTGAAATTTGCTACACAATTAGGGTATGTCATGAAAATGCATACTAAGAAGGGATTTTTCCAAAGAAGGGATTAAGGTTTAACCTGAAGAATGGCTTCTACTGTACTATTTTAGATGCAATTTTTTGTTTTCAACTACATTTAGTCTTCATTGAGTACTTAGATGTATTAAATTAATAACATTTCAGACAATATTATATTTTTATATATTTCGATTTTTTAACCAAATGTTCAGACCGTTTTAAATTCAAATTTGTTATTGCATATTAGTTCGATTATAGAATGATTGTAAATGTTCCAGAAAACTGACCAAATTCAAAACAGTTTGTTTGATTTGCAGCAATTCTCATCATTCTCAGTGGTAGGTGTTATATAACAATTACTATGGTTGTTGAAATACTGAATATAAATGGGGTTTGCTTGCAAAATCTATGTGGGCAAAGTCGCAGGTAACAGCTAGTAAAAGCATATATTTGAATACACTTTTTTCAAATTGCAGCCCGATGAAATGCACATTTCAATGTTTTATATGAATTTTTAACTCTTAAGAAAATTCAAATTTACAAAATGTAACTTTTAATCATTATTATTTACAAAAATTAGTTCATTAGTTAATTTTACACTTTAACACCAATAAAAGATTATTTATAATTAACTTAGACATGTAACATTAATATATAAAAATGGTTTTACTTAAACTATTGTTATTTATTATAAAAAAAATAATTAAAATTACAGATAAAAATTTTATCATTTATAATTAAAATTATAAATAATTAAAAAATTCCAAATTCTTCTTATCAAAACTTTTTATATATTCAATATAAATGATAATTTTGGGTCATTTGTCAAAAGTTTGAGTCTTCATTTTCAATATGGGCATGTAAAAGTTTTTCTATAACCATATTTTATATTGTTTTTGAAACCATGTTTTGCAAATATATTGGACTTTGAACTCCCATTTGAGTTATAAATAAAGCCAAGTGTTCGAAGTCCCATATTTTATATGTTGAAGGATACCTTGATCCATCAGTTGTGACAATGAAGCTGGATACACTAAAAGGTAGAAAAACTGCTTTGATTTCTCCACAGAATAGAATAGCCTCAGATGGATGAGACAGAGCATTATTCAATTCAGCTTTATTACAATATTATTTATTATACTCAAAACAAATATCACAGTAATAAAACTGAACTAAATTGCAATTCTTCAGTTGCAATGGCAATAGCTTACAAACAAGTAAAGTCACATTAAAAAGTCTGTCTACATTAATCAATTATAATTAGGCCAAAAAGTTTTAAAATATAGGTATCCCTCATATAACACAGTAGTTATGTTCCAAAAAAGTGCTGTGTTAATCTGTGTTATACAAAACAACAGACTAATGCAAAACATAAAGTTACATTCCAAAAGTTAATGAAAGTATACTATTCTTTTTTGTTACTAAGAGAAACATGTTTATTAAAGCAATCAATGATTTATTTCTAATCAAAAATTAATTAACAATCACAATTAAAAGTACTGTACTATGCATCAATATTAAATTTAGTTAAACCAGACAGAGTGTTTTTCTTTTTACAAGATAACATCGTCATCTCAGTTTTTTTGTTGATCTCAATCAGAAGTATCAGAAACATTTTCAATTTTTTATTTTTATCATAAAAAATTTCATGGATGATAAAATAAAAATACGTTATTAATCAAAAATTTGTTCTAGTGGTTGCATTTGTTCAGTCGAGTACTGAGCGACTTTTTTCTTTTTTCCAGAATTTGTGTTTGAATACCAAATTGTTTGAATACCGAAAAACTGCTGTATTTTGTATGTCATTTTTACAAATTAAGTAATCATTCATAGATAAGTAATATATATCTACAGTTAAAAACAAGTTTAATAACACTTACCTAAAAATGTTTAATTAAACTTTACTAAATACAAAGTGTATTTTTTAAGTAAGGTCCATTTTTTGATAAGAAGAAAAATACTGTAAATATCATTAAAATATATTTTTTCCCATATTCAACATACTTCTATCTACTTTTCTACATAATTTCCATTTTTGTTCAAACATTTATCATACCGCTCAAAACATTTTTAAATTCCTACTCCAAAGAAATCTGCTGCCTGCCGCCAGAAGACATTAGGCCACGCCGCTTGTCTTGTATGGCACGGCAGAGTTTTCTCAAGGTCACAATAAGCATCAGAATTTATTGTTGTGCCTCTTGGCATAAAATCCACTAACAAAGCCCCTTTCCTGTCCCAAAAGACAGTTACCATGATCTTTCGTGCTGAAATCGAATAACAGATTGTATCTTACAGTTGGCGGGTGACTCAATTTTCTTAAACATTATAAACTTCTATAGCTCAGCACACAGACAGACGATACAGCTGCAAATGGCATATAAACACCCGCAAAGCATGCTGAAAGCAGATGCTCATGCACACTGCTGTAATCGCGCATCATTCTCACTCTCATTCACAAATGGACCTTATTTAAAAAATAGCCCTCGTACAAAGATTAATCCATAAAAATAAAGCATTGTCACTGTCTTAAGAACTAAAGTCTGAAAGCAATGACAATTACACTTGGTTGATAGGAAAGTTAGGACAAGGAATAAAAAAATTGCACTATCAGTTTTCATTAAAGTAAACCTGACAAAAAGCAGAAAATAATTTGAAAATTTCAATACTCTAAAATTCATGAGAAAATTTGAGACGTGTGCGCTTACTTGAGTAAAAAAAAATATCAAACAACAAAGTTTACACTTAAAAATTGTGAAATTTTGTACGGAGAATTTCTAAAACTGCATTAGAGTGAAACCATATTGTAGAGGGATACCCGTATTACATAATAAGCATGTACAGCCAGCAATAAAATTTTTTCGACATTGCTAGAAAAGGTTTGTCTTTCTTACAATACTAAAAAAGAAAAAAAAACAGCTCTCATAGTATTCCAGTTGCTCATTAAAAAAGGTTTTACAATCAGGCAACAGCAATTGACCACTGTCGTGAGGAAAGAATGATTTGTGAGGATTGAAATAAATTAATTGGCATAAAACCATTGTCCACCACTGCCAATAAATATTTGGCAGATTGTTTTGAGTATTTTCAACTAGCAAAAACTAGAAATCATTTACTCCAAAAAATGTTTTCTTCAATATACAATGTTCTGTTCCAATTTGCAAATCATCTATTTGAATTCTGTGAATCAAACCTAACAATGTGTTGTATATAGCAGAAGAAAATGATTTTTATTGGGTTGTTCAGAAAGTAATTTCGTTTTTTTACCACTAGATGGATTAGTTGTATTTTTCCAACCATTTTCATTCTAAACCGTATTATCGTTATATATTTTGACAGCTGGCATTTTAAGGCTTATTTGTAAAAAATTTTGTTTGATTCTGTGCAATTGTTTATTTTCTGTGTCCCATCAAATATGGAAGATTGAAAGCAGCATTTTCAGCATATTTTGCATTTTTATTACCAAAAAATCAAAATGCTGTTCAAGCAAGAAAAAAATTGTGGTACATGTATGGAGATGATGTGCTGAGAGAAAGACAGTGCCAAAACTGGTTTACAAAATTTCATTCTGGCAATTTCAATATTGAAGATGCACCATGTTCTGAATGGCCAGTTGAAGCCAATGAAAACAAAATAAAAGGTACTGATTGAAGAAAACTGCCAAATAACAACACATGAAATCACTAAGAGATTAAATTTGTCAAATTGAACTGTTTATGATTACTTGAAACAAATTGGTTTCATTTCAAAGCTTGATAATGCTCTTTAAGAACATGTGGAACCCATATGGGTTCCACATGTTCTTAAAGAGAGATGCTCTCTTTGGTGGGATTTTAAGGATTTTTTTTTGGAGCTTTTACCAGACAACTTAACAATTGATTCAAAAGTGTACTGCCATCAAGTAAACAAATTGAGTAATATCATCAAACAGAAAATGCGGCCAGAATTGATCAACAAAACAGGTGTAATGTTTTACCACGATAATGTCAAATTTCACACAAGTTTGATAACTCATCAGAAACTGTTATAACTTAGATGGGACTTCTAACTGTTATAACTTAGTTGGGTATCACACCAACCATATTCACCAGATTGAGCACACTCAGATTATTACTTGTTCTGGTCTATATAAATTTTTTTTAACTGTAAGACATTTACATGAAATGACAATGTCAAAAATCACTTGGATCAGTTTTTTGTTAGCAACGATCAGAACTTTTATAAACGTGAAATCATGCTACTTCCAGAAACGATGACAACAGGTATTTGACCAAAATGGTCGATATATAATTCAATAAAATATTTATTTACTATAAAAAATATTGTTTTTTTTCCATGGAAAAAAACGAAATTACTCTCTGAACAACCCAATAGTTTATGCTGGTTTTTGGTGCGTTTTACTTATATTTTAGCCATTATCTCTTCCACTAACTTCAATATTTTCAATATGTGATGGTTGAATCAACAGATGAGGAACCTACAGATACAGTAGACTCCCTATAAGATGGGTTCCTATAATTACGATTTCTATAAGACGGCAAAAAAAATTGTGGCAGTATCCGTACACAAT